TCAAAATGTTTTGAAGTTTGAGTTTGCCAGTTCTCATGTTGTTATGTTGAGCTATTTGGAAAGAATCTTAAGTTCTCATTAGAATGAGAAAATATTTAAATGTTTAAATGCTGCAGCTGTTATCTAGCCTTCAAACAGAAGTAGCTTTTGGAGAGAACTATTTTGAACATGCCTTGACAAGGATAAACCTGCTCATTTTATACAAGAGTTCACTGTATGCTTGAGGCATACAGTAAGGCAAAACCAAGTCTTTTGCATAGCCTAAAAGAAAAAATTCTAGCTATGTTGTGCTGAGCCAGAGTAGCTCCAGCACTTCAGTCTGGAGATTTTCTGTTTTCCCTGGAAAAGGCTTCATGAGCGATAGAAAAGAGACTTCCCACATCATATTCCAAGCTGTGGAGTAGGCACTTCCAGGAAAAGCCAGTGACTTCCTTGTACCCAGCCTGGTTTTCTGCGTAGACCTTTTGTTCCTGAGCCCTTGCACATGCCAGGACGCTGCTTCTGTCTCAAGGTAAGGCAGGAGGGGCACGGCATGGAAAAGGCAAATGGTTTTGCAGGTGCTGAATGTTCCTCCGGGGCTCCGTGTGCCACCCCTAGAGGGCTCCCGCCTTCCTTTGGCCAGAGGAGTGAACCAAAAAGCGGTGGGAAAGGGTGCGGGATTTTGGCCATGGCCACAGACTCCACAGAAGAGCCCTCTGCATATTGTGTCATTCCCTTAATATTTTCATCTCACGGGTGGACACTGGAAAGCTGAGTGGGAAACGTTTCTTTGCATAATATAATCCTTCCTCCCACACGTCTTTTAAGAAGTTGCAGTGTTTCTGGCACTAATTCTGTGATTTGCTTTTTACTGGTTAAAATCCAAGTAGCTGGTTCAGGCTGGGGCCCAGCTGCTCAATATCAGATCTCTGATAATGGACAGCAGCAGTAATTTGGGGAGAGTGCAAAAAGCCTTTTAAATGGGAGGCAAGAAATAAATCATTCATGTAAAGAGTGGGACTAAACAAGTATAGGTTAGAATAATATTCTTTTTTTGCATCTCTTAGTTGAGATTAAAAAAACTCTGAAGCCTTGTTTCTCTTTATATAAGACATAAAAGGTACTTCTCTGTGTGTTTTTCGGGCTACAAGAGATACTTTTCTTTCAGTTGACAGCCCAGTTCGTTTATGAAACCAAGTTCTGGTGGCAGTGTGGGGAAAGGACAAAAAAGTTAAACGATGGATAAGAAGACACTTCAGGCTTTCTGTATAATTAATTATAGTAATTTAAAATCTTGAGCAAAGTCTGTGTTTGGAGAAGTTTCGAAGTTATGATTAAGCCAAGCTGGTAACGATGGATCTAATTGTTGGGTTACAGATGGGTGGAGGTAATGCGAGTTGGGCCACTGACATGAGATATTTCACTCAATTGCTTTCTACTGATGCAGCTAATTCCACACAACTGTTCCAGCAGCTGGAATGACCGGCATGAGTTGGTGTGGATGAACGTCAAGAGTTTTCCTTGACAGACTTAACTGGCTGAAGGTCGTTGGTCTTTAAAGGTACCGTGTCCTTAGTGCTGGCTCTCAAAAGACTCCCTGGAGCTGTTCCAGCCCAGCTCCTGTTGAACCCCTGCTATGAAGAACTTGAGATGGGAGAATGAATCAGGACTGAAATGGCTCTGCCAATTCCTCTTTTCTATCATATCAGTCACCTGAAGCCTTATATCTTTCAGAAGAACTGAAATGTTGCTGTTGAAGCAAAGGTCAAATTCAACAGTGCCGGGAGGCTTTGGTGTTGCACTGGTGAGTCTGCTTTTAAAAACAGAGTAATTCTGCCCTTCTCTCTGTCCCACTCTCCAATGAATTTCCATCTCTTCAAAATGTTAGAAGTATCAAATCATACATGGACAGCCCTTCTTACTACAGATTAAACACTGGTTGCCTGTACAACTTTTAGTGTCCTGATGGATCAGGACACTAATGTGAAGATCAGACTCCCCAGACTTTCAGTATTAATGTTGCATTTAAAGTCTAAATACAGTGTGTTTAGAAATTACCAGCCGAACCACTGGAACAATGTTCCTGCTGCACAGTGCAGTGCTATTAACCAGGAAATTATAAGGAAAGCATTTCAAGTGCTCAGTTTTGTACTGATGCTAAATCTTTGAAAAATAGTTTAATCTTCCCCACACACACACCTCCCCAGTTATGTTTTTCCTCCTGGAAAAATTTACAAGGCTAGTTTTTGCCTTAATTGTAGCATTTCAATTTTTGCCTTGGTTTTGCTTGCTTTCTAAGGTAAAGAGATTATGGATCTGTGTTCTCAGTCTTAAGCTCCTTTGTAACTGGTGGCTTTTACTTTTTTATTTCTTTGGTAATGCTGGCAAAGGATTGGCATCTGCAGGGTTTTCTGTGTCTGTTTTCTACAGGGTAAAATAGAGGGGATCCAAGCAATGTGGTGGTTTTTAGTTTGAGGTAGTTTAAGGAAAAGTTAGTGAATAAACCCTAATACAAATACTAATGACAACTGTTGGTTTCTTCTCCCTACAAATAACCTAATAACTAATAACCTTTTGTAATGGGAAGACACGTTGCATGCCTCTGCCATTAGAAAATTGCCTTCTAATATTTTCTTGTTAATGAAATTTTAAAGTCAGTGAGCTATTCCCAATAGCAGTTGGCCAGGCCAGGATGTGCATTAGCAGGCTAATGGCAGGAGTCCTGCTGTGCTGAAGGCCATGGCTCATGGCAATCCTCTGCATCCCTTGGCTGCAAGGGAGTTGGCTGCATCCCTTGGAGCACTTAATACTGGCTCTGCTAAAGCACTTCTTGTGCTCCCCTTGCCTCCTTTGGGAGGCCACTCCATTGACTAATGGATCTCACTGTCAGGAAGTCTTTCCTGTTCTTCAGTCATAGTGATCTCAGTTCCAAAATTTATAACTGTAACTTCTTTGACAACTCTTTAATGAAAAATTAGGAAAAGAAAGGCAAGAAGTCATCACGCTTGTATAAAAAGAAAATAAAATTGAAACTAACCTGTTTTTCAGTCTTCATTGTAAAACTTGGGGTTTAGTTAAATGCTACCTGCATACATTTTTGGCTGATTGTGGCAGGATCTGGAAGTTGGCTAGCATAAATCCACTCATAAATAAAACTACTGCGACTTTGGGTCTGTCAGGGGCCGACGTTTGTGCCTGTGACATGTACAAAAGCTGGCAGCTCATGAAAGCCATGCTGAGCTGCTCAGGGCTCAAGGGAAGTTTGTGAGGTTACACAATGCACTAGTTGAGATGTCACAGGAAAGCCGAGGGCTGAGGGTGTGGAGGGAGGACCACCAGGGCTGCATTTTGCTAGAAAAAGGGTGTCAGCACAACAGCAGCCTGCAAAGCTCCTGGGCTGGAGCAGTGGGAGCTGCTTGCAGCCCTCGCCAGCTGTGGAGAGGGGCTGGTGTGCAGGAAGTACCCAGAGAGAGGTTTTCACAAGGACCTGTTGTTTGGTTGTTCAGATTGTTTCAGTGTTCTGGTTACTGAGAGGGATTTGGTCTTAGGGTTTTGCTTTCAGCTTTATTTATTTTTGCCTGTTCTCAATTCTCTTTGTGAATACCAATATTCTGAGTCACCCAGAACGATTTCTGCCTTCATTAAAGATTCCTTCCAGCTCCCCTTCAATTGCCCGTAGGCTGGTGCCTGCCCCTGCCTCCCCCTTTGCACTCTGCTGCGCATGTTTAGCTTTCAGTATTCCATCACTCCTCGGCTCCTGCGGCTCTGGCACTTGAGTACCTTCAACTATATTGTACCTTTGGTTCTTTGCACAACTTTATTTCTTCACCTGACCTTCTGCGCTGTCCTGCTCTGTCTGCTACTTCAGAAACATGTTTCCAAGCATCTGAGATACAGTGTGAGGCCACAGTTTATCCCAGTGCTGCAGCAGCTCTGCTTAGAGCTGATCAAGTGAAATGGATAGACAGAGAAATGGGACTTCCAGACCCATTTGGCTATTTCTGTTACACTGTGTGTGTCATCCTGGGTAAATCCATTTACCTCTTTGTTTCTTTGGTGTTGAAATTGTCTGTGGTATCTATACCAAACAGGGCTACATTTCTAGAAAAGCAAAATTAAAAGATGCAATATAAAAAAGAAGTAATTGTATAGTCCTTTAAGGGGTGTTCCTATGTTAATTGCTGAGCTCTGTCACACTCTAAAGCTCATGTGTGAGAAATTCTACAAATCAATAAAGAAAATAACCTGGGAAGGAGATTGGGTCTCTTATTACAGCTCAATGTCAATACTGTAGATGTCTTAATGCTCGTTAATGACTGTCCTTAGTGGTATTCAAACAGTGTACATTTCCTTTAGCTTTTTTCAAAGTCCAGATGAGCTGCTCAGAGCTCTCTTAATGATGCAAATTATTTAATGCTCATTTGTATGCAGAATGCTCCTTCTTTGAAAGTACTTCACAGAATTGGAGCCAAATTCAGCCCTGCAGCTCCACTGAAGTCAGTACTTGTCTATGCGTCTGTTGGTCCTTCTCTTTTTAGTTTTGCTTGAAGAATTAACTTCTTGTTATGCTGATTACGGGTTTTTTTTAGAGGTAATATCTGCAAAGGCTTTTTCGTCCTTGCCTCCCAAAAAAGCAACTCTAAGTACAGAAACAGTTCTGCTGATTCTCACATCTCCCTCTTAACCCCTGCAAAAGGAGGACAGGCTAAGCAGAATACAATTTTTTGTGTTCTTTTCTTTCCTCTACTTTGCACCTCCTAAGAACAGTTTCAGTGATATCTGACACTTCTCCTGATGATCATCCTGCAGAATCTCTGCCATCTGATGTATGCAAAATACTCTCTGTGACCCATTTCTGGTTTAACACCACATGAACTGATGGAGGCCCGAATCTTAGGTTAATTGGGCTCCATATAACAATATCAGGATGGGAGCCTACCTGATACTTTTAATTAAATGTAGCTGCTGAAAGGTGGAAGAGACATTCTTGGTTCAGGCATATACTCATTTTTTAGTGTTATGACTTCATAACTGCAGTATTCTTGTAATGTAATTTTAAACTCATCCCGACTATGTTTTTAATACACACATTGAAAGAAAATAAAAAATCTTCTGCAATAATATCATTCACTCCCTCTAAGTAATGAGCAGAGGCGTGACTTTCAGCTTTACAGCACAGACCCACAACCATCTATTGCCTGCATGGAGAAAGTGGGAGTAATGGAAAGGCATCTTTTCTAGATGTGCATGTCACTAGAATGGGCAGAGACGTTTCTTGTCAGGTGTTAAGAGATATGCTGGCAGCAGAGGGATAAGTGTTGAGAGGTGGGAATAATAGGTTCATTTCCAAGCTCCACAGTGGATAAATCTAGATGCCCTGCTGCCATATTTTATATAATATTGTTACAGTGTATGACTGCTTCCCCTCTCCCTTTCCTGCAGCACTGTCTTCCAGCTCCTGCCTGTGTTCATTTGGAGGTTTTCTGTAGCTCACTCCTTCCCCTGCTCCCCTCAGCTCCTCCCTTCCCGGTGCTTGCCCATCCCTTCAGGCCTGCATCTCTCTTCCCTCTCCCCTGGTGGGGATGGATGTAATCCCCTGAGGAATGTGGCCCACAGGCCTCTGCAGGACTGGGGCGTGACTCTGGAGAGCCTCTGATGGTGAATACAAAGCAGGAAGAAGGAATCTCTGTCACCTTGCAGCACAGGGAGGGAAGAGCTGGATGTCTGTGGGGTGGTCAGTGTGCCTGGCTGTCAAGCCAGCTTGTCAGACGAAAAATAGACGATAGACTTTTCAGCTGCATGTGCCGTTTCCTTATTCATTGTGGCTGGGTGGTGTATTCTCTGCCTGTGGTTTGAATAAATGTCTTGGATAGCTACCTTCTGCTTCAGTCCCCTTGGGATAGCTCTTTCCAACTCAGCTGCATCAGTGTGCTGAAGATGTTAATTCCAAGCATGTGGACCAGAGGGAAGAAGAGAGAGAACTTCATGCAAAGCATGCATCTAAGAAAGCTTTAACTTCAGTCATATCTGTAAAAGCTGCTGTATGTAAAACAAGCTTCACCTGAAGTGCAAGTTGCACAAAGCTCTCTCACTTAATCACATTAACTTTTCTTGTCTTTCCTCTTTGTGTTTATATGTCCACAGAACAGTCAGAAGTGTTTGCAAAGAGAATCCCAAGCTACTGCTAGGATCCAAACTTGGGATGGTTTTTAATAAGGCTTTGCATTTGAGATGTTGCTGTGTTTTAGAGAGTATCCTGGAAAAGTCAACAGAGATGTAATGGAAAAAAAGAAATATAAAGATCACAATTCTGTCTGGGGAAACTGAGTTTTGTCTTATGTAGTAAGCACCCATCTTAACCCTGCTAGAGCAGAACAAACCCCCTTCTCCAGCAGAAACCAGAGTTTGTTGTTAATTAACGTCTTGCTGGAAACTAAGTCTTTGCCATCTGTTCCACCACCTCACTACGAATGCCGCTCTCGTGTTGATTATGTAAGTCAAAATGAAAATATATTTTGATAGAGTGCTGCACGGCACTGTGCTGATTCTTCTCCTGTTCCTATTTACCATTCCCTGCCCCCATCCCACAAGGAAAGGAAAAGGTGACAATTGTTTGACTTCTTGGCAGCTTTATCCTGGAGCTGCCATTATGGCTGCCAAGCCCTGTGTGTTGTGGGAGCAGCCACCTCATCCCTGCTGCATTTGAGCTGGGAGACCTTTGCAAACCCTGGTTATTAGACTCATGAAAAATCCGCATCAGGAAGATGCCCCTTAAACTGAAGCTGCTCTAAATTCTTGTGAGGGGTTAACTTGAAATCCAGAAGAAGAAAATTGAAAAGAAAGAGGCTAGGTTACTCCATAAGTGATAGCATGACCTCTGAGAGCAGCCGGCTGCTCCTGTTACAAGCGTGGCCTCTGTCTGTCTAAGGGTGGAGGAAGAGAGAAAGAGGAGGGGTAGTTTTCCTGTAAGTGGGTTAGAGCAATTACTGAGGTCTCTTACAGCAAATGAAGTTGTCAGTGTGAGTCACATTCCCTTTTTTCTCTCACTGCCAAGTTTTAGGCAGTAACCAGACAGAAGGAAGAAAAGAAAAAAAAAGGACAAAGCAACAACAGGGAAAAGTTGAACTGAAACAACCCTTCATTCGGGGTACTGTTTTCGTGCTGATTGTACGTAGAGATAAAGGATCTATAAATATCCCGTCTGCTGAAATTCCTTATCACAACATCGCCTGTCAGCTGAACAAATAGGTTAGGTTCTCCAAATAATACATAATTACATATGTAAATATAAAATTACTGATTAAATCCCTGCGCCACATGCAATGGAGCTTCATCCCCGGGGGAGGACATTAACCTCTTGTGGTGTTCTGAGAGGTGCCACAGCCCCAGCACAGCAAGTGGCACATGCAGCTGGTACTGGTGAAGTGGCAGAAGCTCAGAGACAGGGCTTGAATAAGCAAGGAGATATTTATCTGCCCGACTAGATGAGATGAAAGCATCTTCTGACACTTTTTAAAAGTATTGGAGCATTTAGTTCTGTTTAGCAAACGGCTGGAAGCTTTTCTACTCTGCTTCAGAGCTTTTAATGAAGCATTGTGATTCCCATTGTGGTCAATTGTTTGACACTTTTATTATTACTGGTATGCAGAGCGTTTTTTAATATTTGATGGCTGGAGAAAGAAGTATTTTGTGCATTCAAAGTTCTAGCACAAAGCTGCTGTTTTCCATTCTGCCTTTGTCTTTTATTCTGGCTGATGCAAATAAACGAAAGACAGAACTGATTAAATTACATTTGTTTACTTCTTCCTTGATGATAATAAGACACAGCCTGCCTCCTCTAAAAGACAGAAATAGAGGATGTGACTGTTTCTACAGTATTTCTAAAAGACTTTTTTTTCCCTTACGATATAAAGGCATTTATTTGTTTCTATTGTCTCGATTTACCAGATAATGTGCACTTCCTAATGTGTGTGGAACAAGAATAGAGCAATGAATGACAGTTAGCAATGGATTCTGTTTGGAAAGCTTCTATCTTGTTATTTTTATTAATTCAACAGTATAAATGATCAGACCACATCACAAAACAAACACAGCAAGATACTTCTGTCCTCCACAGCAGGATGGCTTCTGATCATTGCACAAAGCAGAGTCCTCCATTGCAGGGCTGGGTTTGTACACCCACAGTCCTTCCTGGGTCCTGCCTTCAGGGCCCTGGTGCTACTGGAGTGCTGAGGGGCAGAAATAGGATCCTCTGGATTGTTTTGGTGAGTAATGCGCATGTCTTGATGATTGTGTAATAGTTTGGGTTTTTTGAACACTTGTCCTGAGAAAGAAGGCCTGCATTTGTCTGTCTGGCTTGTGCAGTGTGTTTGCAAGGAAAAAGACCCTGGATCGAGAGGACATTTCTAGAGGACAGCAGATGCTTGTGAGATGGTAGGACGAAGCCACCAGGAGCAGAGAGAATTACAGCAGAAAGACTGTGGGAAGGGTCAATGGTAGAAACAGGAGAGGCAGAGGACGAGCAGAAAGAAGGTGGTGAGGAAGTCACTATAAAACTACCCTCATGAATGCTTTTTCCTGCATTTTTCAAGAACAGAGAAAAGTGCAGCAAAGGATGGCAAAGGCAAGAGAAGTGTCTGAAGGCTTCTCAGCAGTGCAGTCAAACCTCCATGTTTTACAGCTGAAACTCGTCTTATGGACTGCTATCACCTGGCAGCTGAGCCAAATCCAAAAGACTGCTGGTATCAAAATGATGCTTCTGCTTCCAGCCCTGCTGCTTTCATTGTACAGGTCTGGTGCTTGTCTGCCTCTTTAATGAGCTCATGCAGCTCAGTAAACTGCAAGAAAATAAATTCAGTAAAAAATATACCAGCCCAGGAAATGAGAAGAATTGGACGCTGTGAGAATGGAGACTGGAACTGCAATGAGTGAGAGAAGTATGAACATCAGATTTTTTGCTGAAGATTTGGTGTGTTTGGGGGGATGCCTCACTGCTATTTGATGCCTAACCTCCCACTTCACCTCCTAGGTGGGGCTTCCCTCCAAAGGGCACAGGATGAACACGGCCTGACCCAGGGAGGGTGACTGGATGGGTGAAGGAAGGTCACCCAGCAGCACCAACCCACACAGCAGAGAAAGGACTGAATGGAACTGCAGGAGACCAGGAAGATGTTGGCATGGGTAAGAGCCCTGGAAGACGAACCAAGGAGGAAAGAGGACATGTGCAGAGTCACCACAGAAGGTTGCTGCAACAAGCACTGGAAAAATTCTTGAATACAAGATGATGGTCTCATCCTAGCTCTTAAAGGATTTATTCTTATGTATCCATGTGGCTGTCCCTGAAGGTGGGATCTTGCTTATGTCCCTTATTTAGACACACATTTCTCTAAATTGGGATTTGATAAAAGGACAGCTGCTGCATTTTATTATCTGTGATAAGCAGCAGTAAAAGCTGTTCAGAGTTCATGATGGAAATGTATCCATATGTTGGCATTTATCCAACTGCACTTCACAAAGGTGAGTGGGACAGGAGAGTGGTGCACAGCCCCCTTTTAATCCATTTTTTCTAGACAGGGGTACTTTGCCTCTCTGCAGGAAAGGCCAGCACAGCTCCTGTGCTAATAAACACTCATTTCTCACTGCAGCATATGCGCTTCCCAGACTCATAAATCCAAGCAACTTGTAGTTGAATAACAATTAAATATCCACGTGAATTTCCATACCACGGTCTGGTGCACAAGGCATAGGCTAAGTGGCTGCACATCTGTTGTCTGCTCCCCCACACGTACTGTTGGCAGAGAATAATCACTTAATCTTACCCTGCTGCCGTTAATGGTACATGTAAAATTGGATGCAGAGCATCATCCTGCAGATATTTTGCCATATCCTTCAAAAAGAACGGTGTTCTTTTTCTTTTTTTTTAAAGCAGTAGGATTTCCAGGCCAGGGATTCAGTTTGGCTGTTAACATAAGTGGGAAATGAGACATCGTACTGAAAAGTTAATTGAGATGCAGGATGCTGTTGGATCTCAGAACAATTTTGTGTCACTTTTACAAAACCCAGAGACTCAGTAATGCAGTTAAGATAAATGTAGTGCCTGATTACAATAGATGTGTTGCACTTACAAAAGGCATCTCTTATCATGAGGCTCTTCATATCTGCAACAATAACCACCATATGTCAGGTAAGACAAAGATAATGTGAGCCAGATAATTTTCCGATTTTTAAAACTTTAAAAATCCAAAAAGCTACAAATGTCTTAATTATTAATTCAGTTTTGCTAGATGTGGTGCTGGTAGCTGGAGGGAACTTTTTTCTGAGGTTCAATCTTTCCCCTGGTCTAACTGGTAACAGTCTGTGTGGCAGAGTTTTAAATGTTATAGCGATTTAAAGGAGTAAGAATTGTACGCAGTCACTCCCCATCTTGAATTTCCGTGCAGCAGGATTTTATCACATGAAACTGCAGTTCAGATGTTCCCATCTTGAACAGATAGGCCTTGTAGTTTGCTCTGAACTTGACAAGCCTTCCTCAGTGGTGAGGCTGTAAGAGGCACAAGCCTGTCTTGTGCCTCACTGTACAGTATTGTTGTTGTACAGGTACCTATCAAAATGTTTATTCCCTGTAGAATTGACAGAAACCTTGAATTCCCTCCCCAACACCCCCCCCCTCCCGTCAGCTGCAGACCAAGTCCCAGCCATGATCACAAAGAACATCCTGAATCAGTCACAATAATTTGCATTTCCTTGCCAAAGATTTTATCTGCTGGGTGTGCAAATTGCAACATCAAGGTTGCTGGTGTTGAAAAATCTGCAGCCTTCTGCTCCCCAGCTCTACCTTTTCCAGCAAGGTTAATTTATCCAGAAAAATTAATTGAAGCAACAAAGCTGTCAAATGAGAAAGGCTACACAGGGAGACAGCACCACTGTGAACATCTGCACGATCTGTGTGTTTGATTGGGTACCTCAGCACTGGCAGATTATTGTTGTTAGAAGCAAATCTTACTCTTGTCATTTTCATACAAGACTCTGTGCTGCAATTCTGCAGATGTTCGTTCTCTGTGTCCCCACACTGTTTAAAAAAATGACAAATGATGATAGTAAAAATTACATTTGCTCATTCAAACATCTTGCTGTTTACATATAAGAAGAATTATGTGCTGGGGTGCAATGACCTAATGAGAGATGCAACATGGCCTTCAGGAGGAGGTGGATAAAGCCCTCAGAATCTGCTTCTCTCACACAGATAGTCCTCTGATATATATAATGAAAACCTTCTTTTGTTTATAATGACAGATGCCACGGAGGTTGTATATTTGGAAATTATTTTTTCTCTAGGAGTGTTTATTAACAGATGTTTGAAAGTTTTATGATGTGGTGAAAACTGTATCTCTCGTGATAAACAGGAAGTGCTCAGAGATATTGCATTACCCTGTAATGCAACACAGATTCCAACAGCTTGGCTCTTTTTTTCAAAATATGTTGACACCACTTCCTTCAGGAAATCACTCTTCTCTGTACTGCTTTTATCTGCTATAGATATGCAAAATTGCAAAAGAAAATTTTGTTTTAAAGAATGATGATTCATCAATTTTGGACTGTAGAAATGGATGTCTGTAATATTTAAAATATCTATTAAAAATAAGCAGCACAGACTCTATGGGCTGTCAGGTCAGTGGATTGAACCAAGTGCAAGGAAAATAGACTGATACCTCCCACAGCACAGGTGCACCTTAGAAAGCAAAGATGCAGATTTCCCTGCAGGTACCCTGAAGTGTGTCCCAGCCATAAATCTGGAGATGCCTCTTATGCAGTTCCATGTCAGCAAGGCCAGGACCTGCCCAGCAGAGGAGAAGAAGGAATCCTGTTTCCATGTGATCTGCCAGGAAAACTCAGTTTATTTTGCATATGGAACCTTATATTCAGAATCGCTGTGCTACAGCCTCCAACCTGCTCCTAAAGGCTGCCACCCAGTTGTTGGGATGTTTTATCAATGCTGGCTGAATTTTAAACCCTGGTGACTTTTAGGTGAAAATGTCAGAATGCCATTACTGTACTGTCCCTTATCACTTGTTTCTGTTCAGTCACTGCCCATTGTTTATACTAAATCTAATAAGAGCAGACAGGTAGGACATACCTGTGCCATCACAGTCATTAGTCAACATTACAGTGTACTTGTGATGGATATCACCCCAGCAGACAATGATGTCAGGGAAAGCAAGTCCTGGTGAGCTCTTTTTGGAAGGCCTGGCATCATTCTCCAAACCAGTTCTCCATAAAGGGACTTGTGTGTCTGCCAAGGGCTTCACATACACAAAGCTGGATGCAGTGGGGTCTGGATGTCACCCCTCCGGCTGTGACCCTTCTACTCCCATTGCTCAGTCCCACTACCTGTTGATTTTAATTTACATTCTTCCCTCCTCGTTGTCTTTTACTCTTTCTTGAATCACCATTTCTCCCCTGTCCTAACATCAGCCAACCTCTTCATCACAAATGCTCCCTAAATTTTTTAGCTATGAACAAGAAGTATTAAAAATGGAGCTACTGCAATATCTGGACAATGTAAAGCCCTAATAATCCTGTTTCTACATGCTTTGACTTCTGCCTCTGCTGGAGGCATCACTTGTCCTGCCTTACAGCTGAACAGAGAACAAGTGGGAGAACAGGCTGCATGTTTTAGTATTTGTCAATTATTATACTTCTGTGGCTTTGTAATAATTTTATCTCTTTTTTAAATTATTTTTTATTTTCCTAGCAATCAATTATACTAGAAATACGGAGATCAAGAGACTGATATAATACACTAGCTAAATCTTTTTGTAAGAACTTAATAGTCTTTCAGTGCATAAAGCTTCAGCACAAGAAAACAAAGGTCATGTACCAGGACCTCAGTGACGGCTCACAAGTCACTGCAACATTCTGTATAAATACTGACTACATGTATGTTTTGTTTTGTCAGTCCTGTAAAATAACTCTTTATCTGGTGATTCAGTTCTCTTATCGTTCCCAGCTTGTTTACTGAATTTTAAGTCTTGGGCAAGATGAAGCAAGCTCATGAGGAGTAGCTGGTTTTCAAAAGATACAAGCTCCAGATAAGCAAGGACAAGTAAAGCACACACAACAACATTGAAATCACCCAGAGTTTTGTTGCAGCTGACTGAGACAGAGTGTGCTTTGAGGCTGGGAAATTTCCATTACTGAACTGCAGGACAGTGCCTGGATGCTGCTGCTACTGCAGATGAAAAATAAAAGCAACTTAATTTTACACAGACAGCAACAAAATGTCAGTATGTTAATTAAAATTGTTAGAATTATATAATAAGCTTTTAAGGTTGCTGTAAAATGGATCCCTTATATATATATATAATATATAATATTTATATATTATATTTAAAGTATAATTGTAAACTATGTGTTCAGAACTAAGAAACGTAAAAATGACTTAAAATTGCAACTATGTTTTCAAATTATATTTGTGAAGAGCAAACGTACCCAGAACATGATAGATAATACAAGACATTTCCTACGACAGTGACAGGTTCTGACAGTGACAGGATGATGCCCAGTGCAGGATCAAGGCTGTTACTGACAGTATCATTCTGCAATTAATAATCTTTTGTGCTCCCCTTGGCATGCACAGAACAAGCACAGCAATCTGTTTACAAGTTTTAACTCCGTGGTGTCTGAGCCACCATAAGCTCCCTGCAAACTCCATCAGAATGTCGAATGGAGAAGAAAGGAAATACTGAGGGGAAAACTAAATTTGTTCTGGCATCAGGTGCACAGCAGTTTGGGTGAGAGACTGTTTTTAACTTCCCAACAGTGTGAGATTACAGCGAGACCCTCCTTTTCATTGAGGTCACTTTATGCTGTCAGAGCAGTAGCTGACATTCAAATGAAGATCTCCAGGGATTTCAGCTCTGTGTCACCCATTCGATCCAGCCCAGGTCGGTACTAACTAGAAGTCATTAGCATCTGATGCTTTTAGAATAGTTCCCTGTGGATCAGAGCTCATATCTAAGCAATTTCAGGAACCATCACCATGGTTCCTGAGTGCCTTAGAAGTTAAAATATATCTTTATAAAACATCTTAACGTGTCTTATTTCTCTCTCGTCACCCCCGCACAAAGGCTTGAGGTCTTTTTAAATAATGCTGGGAAAATTGTATATACTTAATGCCTGTGTTTTGTTGGGATGATGGGAGGTTCAGGGTCACACTGATTTATTCCAAAAGCAAGAGCCATACTCCTACAGCAGCTACCAAGAAAGCCATGGCTTCGATGTCCCAGACAAATAATAAAACTAATAGACTGATGATGATCTGGGGACATGTGGCTTCAGTTTCGAATTAGCACAGAAACCTGAAATCCCTCCCACCCCCACTGAAGAGTGGCACAATAGGGCAGCTCCGTGGTGTTTGTCCTTGGCCCCAGCCCAACAGTGCTGATCCCAGGGCTCACAGGGCCTTCATGGGATGATGTTCACTTTTCAAGAGACCTATTTACAGAACACAAATTAACAGTTAAAGTAGATACATGTGTTACAGGAAATTTCTAGACCCTCATTGTAGGATGAACTCATCCGTGTGATTCCTGAACGTCATATGAAGATGGAGACAGTCCAAACCATGGCATATTTGCACAGACTGATTCTATGGCTTAGCTGTTTCCTAATATACCTGTTAAACTGCAGAGACTGTGTTTCTGCTTCGACAAACTCTTCTCAGAGGTGCTTTGATTTCTGTTTGAAATAACGAGGGTTTTTTCCTCCTCATTATCTGCCATCATTTTTCAGTAAGTATCATCTCTTCTCCCCCAACGCAGCCCTTTACTTTAAGCATGGAACTAATAATTTTCTTAAAACGCATTTATGTTCTTCCCAGAATCGAGGCTTTAGTGTCGCCTTGTTAAGGCAAAAGACCCAACATTAAGTGCAGGTACTGGCAGTGTGTTTCAGTATGTGTAAAAGCAATTGATACTCCTCCTGTCTGCTCTCAGCAACGGCAGAGCTTCGCTGAAATACGTGCACTGAGTTCTGTCATGGGAGGGGTTTTTGGGTAAGCATTCCATAGCTTCTGACCACTTATTTGGGTTTAATTGGATTAGACACATATTTGAACACGGCACTCAAAGGAGCTGACAGTCTTTCCACAATTTCCTGGCCTGCCTGGTTGGTTTCCTTTTTGATCAGGCACATCCCAGTGAAAGTAAAAAATTATCTAGATACGTGCCAGTTTTTAATTAAATTTGCTGTGACAGGCTGTGTTTAAGCTAGATTCTCTACAATAATTTGTTTTGCATTTGCTGATGACAGATTTATTTATGTATGTAATCAGAACTGTAAGCACAATTTCACTTTTAGAGTTAAGACAACCTTTTAAATAATATTTTACTTGGTTTCAGGAAAATTAAACACTCGCATTTACTGCTCTCTACAATATCTGAGTGAAAAAACACTTTTTCTAAAGTGAAGGCGAACACATCATGGAAAGAAAAACATAAACAAGTAAAAATAAATACATCAGAAGCATTATCCCACTCAAATACACAAAACCATGAGCTGTAGAATTGAATGTCTGTTAAATACAGAGAGAAGTTTATTAGGTTATGTTGCTCTTGCCTGAGAGCTTTCTTTCCATCAGCCAAGGCTGGGTGGCACCTGGAGCCCCAAGGGAGAGGCCTCAGGGACACCTGGATGTGCATCCAAAAACAGTGGCTTCCCTCATGAGTCCTGGTCAGAAGCCAGCCTGGTGTTTTGGGGAGGTGAGCAAGTGGCAACGAGGGGATTGTACAGTTGTGGAAAAACACAATTGTTCAGCTGATGGCAAAGGAAGCTGGATTGGAGCAAGTAGGGACAGGAGAAGGTGGGATGCCAGAAATGACCCTATGGGAACTGGGAGAAGTAGGACATAGGCAGAGACATCGGCAGGGACACTTGCAAGGCAAAGACAGACTTGAAGCAGCACAGTAGCCAGAAGAGATGTCAGTAGTGAAAAACATCAATAGGAAGAGATGCAGATCTGAGAGAAATGTTAAGGAATAGGGCAAAGGATTACCAGGGAGAACCTGGGAGCAACTGGATAGTCGTGGAACACCTTCTGGCTGAGCACTGTTACACCGGAATTAATAATTTAAAAACTAATAACTAGTTAAAAGAAAAAAGCCTGGTGGTCTCGGGGTGACGGGCTGATCACAGTGTGCTCTGCTGACAGACTGGGAAGGGTGTGAATGTGGAGACATGGGCACTGCCAGGTGTGTGAGATGTACCTGACCACAGATCCTGCACACCTCCAACAGCCAAGGCAGGGCTGCAGTAGGGGCTCAGATCTGGGTTTAGTGCTTTTTGACAGGATCATTAGAGAATTGCAGGGAAGAAAAAAAGAAAAAAGGAGTGGAGTTAAGGTCCTTGTGTGTAACTTTTGCAAAGAAGAAAAAGCTATTTTAGGAAAACTGAGCCTTTAAGGGAAACAGAAAAGATATGTCACTGTGGCGAGGAGTGACCCAAGGCTTCAGACAAACCATCGACTGTGCTTTCACCTCCCCTGCAGAGTTTATTTACATTTGTACTGGAAGTAGCCAACAGGAAAACGAAATTCCATGTAAAAACAACGTGTAAAAAGAGGTTACGAGCTCAGGGAATGTCAGAACTAAACTCGCCCTTATCACGGTCACTCGGCTTTCGCGTGCGCTGGGGGACAACAGTGGGTGCGACCGCGCCTCGAACCCCGCGAGCCCCGTCCTTCCCTCAGCCGGGGCACGGGAGAGAACCGGGACGGGGCGTGGGATGAGAGGTGCGATCGGGCAGTGGGATGAGGAGGGGGCGGTGGGATGGAGGGGTGGGGTGAGGCAGTGCAGTGAATGGGCAGTACGATGGGATGGGGGGTGGAACGGGATGGGCAGCGCGGTGGGATTGGGGGTGGGACGGGCAGTGGGACGGGGTGGGCAGTGCGGTGGGATGGACAGTGCGGTGGGATGGGCAGTGCGGTGGGATGGGCAGTGCGGTGGGATGGACAGTGCGGTGGGATGGGCAGTGCGGTGGGATGGGCAATGGGATGACGCTCCCCTCCCGCCTCCATTTCCCGCCGTCACCTGACACCTCTAATGGCGCCGGGCGGTCGCGCGCCCCCTCACGTGACCCGCCGCGCGTCCCACGTGACCAGCGGCCGCCGCGCCCCCTCCCCAGCGGCTGCGGTACCGCAGTCCCGGCCCCGCCCCCGCTGCGCGCGGCCACGCCCCCCGCCGCGCGCGCGGCCCCGCCCCGCGCCGCTCCCTGCGCGCGCCCCCGCCCTCCCCTCACCGCCCCCCTGGCCCGGGCGGTGCGCGCGCGCGGCTGGCGGAGCCTCCTCAGAGCGGCCGGGGCGGGATCGGCGCTGACGGCACTGACGGGGCGGACGGGCCAGCACCGGCGGAGCGGCCGCGGCTCCCGAGCGGGCGGCTCCTCTTCCTCCCTCCTTCTCCTCCTCCCTTCTCCCTCCTCCTCCCTCCTCCCTCCCGCATCCTCCTCGCCCGCCTCCGCCCTCCCCCCCACGCAGGCACCGCAGTTCCCGGCACGGACAACATGGCGGCGGTGTCGGGGGCCGGGGCTGCGGGCGGCTCCGCCAGCGCCGGCGGCCCGGAGATGGTGCGGGGACAAGTGTTCGACGTTGGGCCGCGCTACACCAACCTCTCCTACATCGGCGAGGGGGCCTACGGCATGGTGTGGTAAGTGCGGCCGCCGGGGCAGCGCCCTTGCCCCGGACAACTCCCTCCCTCCCTCCCTCCCTCCCTCCTCCTTCCCGCCGCCCTGCCCGGCCCCGGGCCCTGCCCGCCCTTGCCCTCAGGGAGGGGGAGCAGCTCGGCCTTGCTTTCCTCAGCCCTGCCTCTCCCTCCGTGTTCCCGAGGTTGTCCCTCCGGCATCACCCTTCCTTCCCTTCCCTCCCTGCACACCCCCCCCGCTCCATCCCTTCCTCGGTGGGTGCAGCCCAGCGGCTCGTTTGGTTTCACTCGACTATTTGTTTTCTTTAATATTTTTTTTCCTCTGGAGCGGGCCGCTCTCGTTGTTTCCTCCCGTCTCCGTAGTGCGATTGCGGGCGTTCAGGGAGGGAGGGGAGGCGGTGAGATCCCGCGGCTCTCCCCGTGCCCTGCCAGGGCTCACCTGGCTGCAGCAGCCACAGGTCGCAGGGGGGGTAGAAAAAGTGAATCTGAGCAGTACGAGTGCCTGCCCCTGCCTGGCTTTGCTCAGGACGTGCTGTCTGTGCTGCAGAGCCGGCCAGATTAGCGCCTGCATTAACGTGTGTGCAGGTGAAAGTTCTCTGCAGCCGTCCTAGCTCTAAGATTATTTTATGTTATGAAGACTTAATATTA